AGAACATGTGCGATAACAATCACCGCAGACATGAGTTTTAGGACAGCGTTAGCGGCAGACTTTAAGAGAGAATACAAAAACGTGGAATTCCTTTGGAAGCAAAGACCAGGGATAGGGGGCGTAGCAGCCTTACCTCCGGCGGTGTCGCAGATACCGGGAAAGTACTTATGCTTCTTGGTAACGAGGGCGACAGAGAAGCAGCACGTGGACCCAGAAAACCTAGTCTTGTCTTTGACGAGGCTGAGGGACTTCCTTGTGGAAATGGACGTGAAGGAGCTCTCGCTTCCAGTGTACGATCCAAATAGAGGAAGACTGCATCCTCGGTAATTGTACGCGCTTGTACACGTGATATTCTCTGATACGAACATACAAGTACATCTACATAAGAAATATTACTTAAGTATAGGCTGAGTGATGTGCGAAAGAGTGTTAGGCCAAAGACCAAGTTGCATGTAATATGTGATATGTGTGTGATGTTATGTTATGTGTTAGGTTATTAAGATCATGGGTATGTAGGGGTTAGTGACCATGAACAACTAGATGACGATCTTGGGAATAGATCCAAAGTTTGGACTGTCCAATCTTAGGTCGAATTCCAAAATTTTAGAAACCAATTGATTTTAATAAATTTTAGGATAAATATCTTTTTATCTGAACTGTTTTAAGCAAATTTTAACGATATATGTTAAGGTGAAACTGACAAGTGTGACATTCGTGATTGCTTTTCTAGATCCTGATTGATCATTTAAATTACTCACTTGAGTCAAAGAATCGAATCAAATCAAACTTGAAAAGAATAGAATGGACAACTTCAACCTGGATGAATTGATGGACCTGGCAGAGGCATATGTAGGACCGATGGTAGATGCGATCTATCGTCGGCTGATCGAACGAGACTTCGCTCTGGAGGACCCAGAGGTGGTCATGTTGCTGACCGCCCTGATCAACATCTTGGGGCACGACAACCGTGGGGACCGCCCCACGGAAGTCCTCTTGATGGCAGCATATGGAGAAAGAGGAGTACTAGACCGCCCGAACATGAGAGTGATGAGGTGGAGAAACGGGGCTCTCTCAGGGAGTGACTTGGCGAATGAGCCTGGATTGGGAAGTTCTAGGACTTGCCAACCAGGTGAGATGCCAATGCCCTCTAAGCCTAAACCTGGGCTGACGAGAATGCATCGGGAGATGAACAGCGAGGCGACCTCGTCTGGTTCACCACTGAGAGCAGCTGTGCCACCAAAAAGGGCGAAAGTAACACAGAAGGTTCAGACGAACCAAACCATACAAGATCTGGACGAGATGAACGATCAGCTGAGAAGTACGAAGAAGGAGCTGGACGAGATGACCAGAAGCATGCTCCAGATGGAGGAAGATCGGGACATGTGGAGAAAGTTGTTTGAAGACTGCAACAAAAAGCAGGGTCAAGAGATTGAGCGCTTAAAGCAGAACTACATAGGAAAATGGAGGGAAGCAATCGAAACAGAGATGAACATCAGACACAGCGAAACTTATTGTAGACCATCAGGAGCACGATATTTGGTGGGCTCAACGTTGGCTCCAATGTGCAAGAGCAGATATCCTGTACATTTCGTAGCTGTGGACGTGAAGAGTACAAGAACGATTGTGGATCAAGCCTTCTCAGTGCCGAAGTGTGTGAGATTGGCGAGAATGTCTGAAAAGTCTTACGAGTTACTATGTAAGATGTTCTCAGCAATTCCAGAGAGGACCAAAGAGGAGTTGGAGTCAATACTAGGAAAGAAGTTCATGGGATATGTGAGCGGGAACTTCAATGACTTTGAAAAACAGAAACAGAGAGGATCAACTGTCACAGATTACAATGCAGTAGATTCAGAATGATGAAATCCACCGAGTGATGATGGAAGTGGAACCATTGCTGGAAGCTTCGGGAAAACGTAATTGGAGGAGCATCATTTTGACGCATGACGAGTTTCCTTGCCACTCCTTGCTGCAGACCTGGTGGTATCCCAAGCGTAGTAATCTGATGTTGATCTGGGACTCTGGAGAGCTGCTCTCCATGGGTTTACCAGATTCATCACAGCCCGTAACAATAGTGATAGTGGGAGTTATGATGGCGATACGATGGCTGGAAGCTCATGTGAGAAAAAATAATAGGCAGGAGGCGCCGACGAGAGAACAATTGCGGAAATTAGATTGTCTAAAAGATTTAGATCTTTTTGAGACAATGTGCAAAGTTCTAACCATTCCGATGGAAGTGAAGAAGTTATGGGCGAGAAAACGATTGATGCCATGGCTCAGAGCCAACATGACTGCATGGTTGTACGAGTATGCGAAAAAGCATATGTCGAAGCACGGCAGGGTGTACAGTGAATATCAGCTGGACATTGGGGCAGGAGCTTTCAAGCGAGCTCTCGTGACTCATCGGAATGCAGTGACCACCGCCGTGAAAAGAATTTCCAGAACGAGTGAGCGTGGTAAAAATGAGAAGGCAGAGATGCTGAAAGAAGATCTGGAGAGAAACGTGACGTTGTGTCTCCGCAACAGCTTCTGTAGAAACAGAGAATCCAACGTGGATCCCCTACCTTGCTGTAAACAGAGGGTAGAAGAGCAGAAGTGTTGGAGGACGGCTTCCAACAGCGTCAAGATAGCCAACGACGTGCTACAAGACACGGAAACCGAAAGTGCGGAGTCAGCATCACAGGAGGAGGAAATGGAACATTGACGAATGGTCGAGAAAACAAGAGGCAACAAGAAAGAAAATTAGAAGAATTTAGAAGTTTTAGAACTTCTAAACGACGAAAAAAGCAGAGAACAAAGAAATGATGAAGAAAAGTCAAAACTCAGAATTGTTTTATGTGTGTGAAAAACTCAAGTGAGAAACCAAGCAACCAAGTTGTAATTGAAAACTGAAACATTTTGTTGAGTTTTGAAATTGTTGCATTTATAAATTTGCATTTTGATTTTAGTTGAAGTGGCTTTAGAGACACTCACTTATTATTTATTTAGAAAGGCTTGAGGGAAGAGTATATTTAAATATTCCAGCCTGCATGATTGTTTTTAATCACTTAGGAAGACTGATCACTTTGTGGTGACGTGGAAGGCTTGAGTAATCTCTCGAAGAGGGAGATTGTTTCATTGTTCTTTCTAACCACAAAGTTTCTTAGTTTTAATATTCAGGACAATAAACAAGCAAGATTTCCGAAGGGAAGGAGCATAGTAGGATAATTTTAGCTTGTTGGTTGGCAGGACTGTCCTGCAAGCCAACACCTTTTAAATCTAGGAGAAAAAGTTTTAATCGGGACATTGACACTGGAAGTCAGAAAAAATGTTTTATCTTAAGTCATATCCTCAATGTGCAGATTAATGACAGATTTTGAAGGCTATAGTGATGTGGTATGATGCCATTTATATTCTGCAGTGAGTCGATGTGACGTGGATAAAAGTAATTTCGTGCATTTTGTAAATTCTGTTCGATGACACTGTAACCATTTTACGAATATTGCGCGATTCAATGAGGACATTGACCGGACTGTCCGGGGAGTTTGTGACATTCGACCTGAATGGCCAAAATGCAATCTCTGCAGACTTCGAAATTTTAGCAGTGAACCTTCCGAGTTAATGATTTTGAAGGATTAACGACGTTATTCGGATGATTAGCAGAACGGTGAAGGTCAGGATATTCCCGTATTTTAAAATTTTAAATTTTCGAAGTGATGACGTAACATTTCTGAGAAATGCTGAAACGGCCATTTTTAACAAAAAACGAGAGAGAAAACACAACAACATTAGTTGCGCTGACGAGAACAACTTTATCGAAATTGAGGAAATCGAAATTGAAGAAGACGACAACGAATTACAGAGAACGTTCCGAGTTGCAACTATTGTGCTGCTACAATAGTTGCAAGGCCGTTGCGAGCAACGGTGAAGGGTGGAAACCAGCCTTCCGTGTTATCGTGAAATCGAACTTAAGGAGCTTGATTCACCGGATTCAAGAATTCGGAAGGGTCTCGGGACGGAAAACTTTTATTGACTCGTGTGAACTTTTAGCATCATGTCATGTCCTGACTTGAATTTAATTGATATTTGGATTAGTTTTGACAAGGATGAGGTGCTAGGAGTGGGGGAGAGGGTTGATCCATCTTCGATGGAGATGATGATTTTTATCTACTGAACAAAAACAATAGTAATATAATAAGTAGTAGCCCTGTTTTTAGGAGTGACCTCGTGGTCTGGGGATACTGAGACCCAGCCATGAGCTCACTATTTTTGCATGTAATTCAGTTAATTTGAGCGTTCTGGTCGAAGCCGGAGAACAGTAACGTTTTTGTCGACCCGATGTTAGAAAAGACCACGGAAAAGTACTGGCTTGGTAGAGACGGTGAAAAACATGCAAAGCTCTGTTTAGACGCTAGCCAGTCGTCTTAAGACTTAGTTTTGTTATCCGTCGATATGTATCTTCCGGGCGAATGTTACACTTTCGAAAACGTTAATTAATTTAAACACGAAAAATATTGTTTTTTTCTTTTTTCCACTTCTTCAATTTTAAAATCGTTTGAAGTTCTGTTGGCTTATATTTAAGCGTCATGGTGCTTTATCCTATAATTGTTGTATCGCAAGTGGTGCAAAATTTTCAGAAGCTGTTTTATTAAAGAATGCAAGGAATGGTCCGTGCATTTGAAGCAGTGGTAACACCCATGCTTGACTACTAATCCGGGAAGTTCCATTCCAGTTGGGACCTTTTTTTGTGGAATTTGAAAATTGACGACTATTTTTTAGACTTCCGTGTCTAAAAGCTTCGTTTTTTTTTGCAGTTTGAAAACTCTTTTTAAAATTTCCAACAATGCTGGTTATTTTATTCCATGAATTTTTGTCCTTTTTGCAATTTTTTAAACTTTTTGACAAAAAACGTATTTTGAATGTTTTTTTTTTCAATTTTTGATTTGCTTGTAATCTTAGTCAATCTTTTTATGGCAAGTGGTGCGATGCTCATTTTCGCCTCTTAAATGCTCATTTTCGCCTGTTTTAAATCTTAAACCCTTCTTTCGAATGGTTTGCATAGAATACTTTAACTCTTTGTAAATTGATGCAGGTTATTTTAATTGTCTCAATGCATTTTCATGGCAAAAAAGCTTGCTTGTCGGTTAGAATTGAAAAAGATCTCGGCTCTGTCACTCACCTACCAATTCCGCTTAGTGTCTGAGGCTCGGCGGAATTTCGACCTGCTTCGGACAATTTTTTCCAAATGGTCTTATTCACTGTTCAATGGAACGGGTTCTGTTAGTGATATTACTAATCTAATCAGTATTCTAAAAACCGGATATTGAGGTTCGATGTTCAATTTCAGACATGGAGAGACTACATCTGTTTGCTAAATTCCATATCCCAAGATCCATTGAAGCGAAGCGGCCTCGCAGGGCTGTAGATCAGCAGGAGACTATCGGCAGGCATTCCGTTTGTAGTCAAACACAGGGACGTCGACAGCACGCACCACAGTAAGTACATTGCTCTGATTGACTTCCTATTTTGGAAACGGGGCTTGTCTTTATAGAAATCAAGGATACAGAAGTTCCGCAAATGACAATACCTCACCCTCCCCAAACAGTATTGAGCGAAAGGCATGCTCTTTCCGGGTTTTAGTTCCGGAACTTCCTAAGTCTGCCGGTCGCTTCGTCTATTAGTCCTTATTTTTCGTGCGGGAATAAACCTTAACCCTGGATCCCTTACCTGCTAGTAGTAGATGTTGGAGCTAAAGTGGAGGGGGGGGGAGGTGGATGACCCCCATGTTTTAAGATAGGGAATAGAGCAGCCGGTCTTCCAGCAATGTATTAACATTGGGTATAGAGTCTACAGTGTATTAAGATAGGGAATACCAATGGTAAGGTTTTATGGTTTGTGTGATTGTAAGATAATGGTAAGAAAAACGAAAATGTTGTGTGGAGAAGTCTATTTTTTCGCAAAAATTTTGGCACGCGTTATCTAATTAGTAATGATTACTGGTTAATTACGTGTGGGTTGTGGAATTAAGGTTATGTATTTAGGTTTTTGGTTAATGGTAAGTCAATGGTAATTTTTTTTGTGCAAAAACTTGGAGTTTTTGTCACGAAATTGAAAATTAAAAAAAAAAAATTTAAAACGATGTGATTTGCTGTAATTCGATCTATTTTTATTGGATAATCTTATTTTCTATCTACCTGAATCTATGCTGAAACCTACTGAAACTTGGAAAAAAGTCAAAAATTTGAGAAAAAAAGTAAATTACAAAGTATATAAATCACTGCATCGTATAGTAAATTTACTACAATATTTTACACTTACAAATGAAAAACTACACATTTACATAAAATTACTGATAAAATTCAAAACATGCACATCATGAATATTATTCATGTTTGTCTGGTAGAATTTAAAAAGAAGAAATGCTGAATAAATTGCGTAAAATCCACACAAATTATCAGTTTTTTGTAGTTTTCTGGGAACCATTCGCCGATACTTTTTGTTAGAAAGAAATAAGCTGTTCTTTTTCGACCCAAACAATCAGCAAAGTAGTAAATTTTGTTCAATCGAGCTATCATGATCTAGTGCTCCCCTCTATCATTGCTTGGAGCGGAGTTAACAATTGAAAAAGAGTATTTTGTTAGTTGAGGTACTTTATCAGAGGGGTAAGATCCTATGTACTTGAACCTGAGTTCAGGAATTCTTTCAATGATTTGCAGAAGTGAAAAATTATCCATCTTTGCAACTGTTAGCTGATCTAAAACAAAGAAATAGAAAGTTTGATATTGTAATTTAAGGTGAAAAAAACTAAAGTTATTGACTTACGCGCATTTAGGTATTGAATTAACAAAGTCCGATACACAAAACTTGTGAACTGCACAAAAGTTATTGAACACTGGTTTACATTCTAGGTTGAAGTATTTTCTTGGTTTTTCAATTAAACAGCATTCATTATCTGCTTTTTCTGGAGATTTAGGTCTGAAGAAAAACAAAATAGATATAACAGAGACAATAACAATGAAAAGTCCCAAAAAAGTTACATTATTTTTATAGGAACCTGAAATTCAAAAAAATATACATGGTTAGCGACTGTACCGAATTTGTCAATTTGAACGTTTGATGGTCTTTCTCCCAACACTATCACTTCCGTTACTTGTTCCCAGGGAAACTGGAAAAACATTTCTAATCGCAAGCTTTCTCCACTAAGTTCTGGATAATGCAACTGTTCAGCTGCATCCTGTAGTGAAGTCAAGTCAAAAACTAGAATATAGTGATTTTGAAAATCTTCCATAGGAAGAGCTGGGAAATCTTCGTAAAACTGCATTGCTTTCATTGTTGTAACATAAGGACGACAAGGAGAAGTTGTATCTAATGAAACAATTGCTCTTCCACCCCGAATAACTCGCAGCTCTCTCAAATGAAATTGTTGATAATTGAAAGGGTTTTCATGAAAAGATCCTGCAACAGCTGAATTTGTATTCATTGCAACAGCTACTCTTCTTATTGGAGCGTTATTGAATATATTTTCTTGTATGAATTGGTTTTGACGAGATGGAATCATAAAGGTTCTTGCTATAGTTTCCATGTAATTGTATTGAGCAGGTTCTCTTTCCAGATTCCATTGCAAGTATTGATGATTAGGTTCAGCGACCAAAATTCTTCTACTAAACAGCGAACAATCAACAATTTTCAGACTGACATTTGGATTATCAGATAGCATGTAAAAATTAGGTCTAGCTCGAATAAGTTTAGTTCGATCTTTGGTATTTGGTAGCAACAATTTTTCGCAAGTAAACAAATCAATGGCGAGCCTCCCATAGTGAAAAAGTTATCCCTGTTCCTAAGGAATTTGCTCTATCAATGAATGGATGCATATCAAATGCATCAGGATATTCTTCAAAACTGTATCCATGACAAGCAAGTATTCCTTTATTACTCACTGCTGACGAGTTGAATTCGTTCGGTATTTGTGCCTTATGAGGACATATCCATTGGCATTGTAAGCTATTGTATTGTTAAAATAAACTTACAGTTGGAGAATAGATAATGTAGTAGATTGTTTACATAAGTAAAGTAAGTTTGTGGTTCCTCATCTGAATCTTCCTCCAGTTTTGCTTTGTTCTGCTTTTTCTTTTTTTTGAAAGCATCAAACAATCTTCCTATGAATAGTTGAAGCTTTAAGCTAAGATGGGTATCACGCATATCCATGTAGAGATTACGATCCGTTTCAAATTTAAATTCAATACTGCTTTCATCCAGAGAAGTACTGGGGAATACTTCTTGTGTGTATGATGACATAATTGTTTCCAAAACTGGGACTTTAGCAAAAATCGCCAATGAAGAATTTGTAAAAGCCCCGTACCGAAAATGACTTTGGTTTACACTCATTTTATGTAGTCAAAATGTCGCGAGAGCGATTGTTTTTCGATAGGCTTTTTCGAGAAATGGATCTGGTTCTACCAGTTCTACGCTTAGATTTCTTTTTTCCACCTCCCAATTGTTTCCGAACTGTTTTTTGTTTTTTTGTTACCACATCTTTTGCAAATGTTTTGAGTTTTTTTTACATCCACTAACATTTTCCCCAATCTCTGGAGCAGCGATTCCAAACAAATCTGCCCCAATTCTTTTCGCAGCTGGGACTATATATTTTTTAATAAAGGGGATTGTAATTCTCCCAAGAGTTTGTGCAAGAGCTCCAAAACCTCTTCCACGTTGTCTTGCATGTCTTCGAAAAATAGGGAAATCTGCTGAGTTTTGAGCAACCATTTCGTATGAAGAATAAATCAAAAATGATTGTTCGAAATCTTGCGAAACAAGAGAACAACTCGGGCAATTCCTACGGACACAAAATGAGTTTTTTCACCTGTACTATCTTTAAGTTCTATCTTGATACTATGGAAAGAATTTTTCAACAGCTTTTTAAACTGTAAATTTGTAAAGGATTGATAATTCATGTAGTATCATGTAGAAATTATATCTCCACTCTTCACTTTGGAGATGAAAGGGATACAACGCAATAAGGGAGTTTTTGTATCACCGACTATGTATCACTATATATCATTAGGGAAAGTATTTTTATAATGTCGTAAGAATACTGGGGATAATGTGGACCTTTTCCTTTCATTATAACCCCTGTTTGATTTTGTTCTAAATCACAACCAAAAATGTGACTCAAATCAGCACTCTGAATTATGAACACTGATTGATTCTCAGGTCAATGACGGCTAACTTTTGTGTAACTTCGTCTACTGATACATCGATTCCGTTATATTCAAAAACTTGAGCACCTAGACGTTCTCGAATTTTGTTGTTCATGGCTACAATTATATCAACAATACTTGGATTCAATCCTGGTTCAATGTTCATCGGTACAATCTTTCTTTTCTCCGCAGAACTTTCTCTACCATCTACGAATATAAACTTTCCCTCTGTAACATTTTGGTACAAAGAAGGGTATGATATTTCTGAAAGAGCAACCTCCCTTTCAACTTTCAAATGTATATGTTCGGGTAGAAAGTTTGTAAAAGAACTAAAACTTTATTCGGATAACAATTAAAAGAAGCGTTGGAAACTAACTCAATAGTAAAAGAATCCATGACAACTGATTGATAGAACTTTAGTTAAAAAAATGATTTACCTTTAATCAGAACATTTTCTCAGCTATTTTTCGTAAAATTTTCCCAGATTTTCTTCTTTGTCGAGATCTTTGATGTATGTAGGAGGCTTCTTTGTAGATATTGCCGAAATTTCAAAAATTTCATCTGTAAATTGTGGTTTGTATCCTTTTCGGAACGAAATATCATTCTTTGAAATTCTCACTCTGTCTCAACTTTGCATTTTAGTTTCTTATACCTTGTTAGAGGTTTATTGTACAGAATTGAGAGGAAATCAGCATTCTAGGTGATTTCCCAATAGATCTATTGACGCGACAATTCATTTTAGACACAAATTACGGCAGCTTGTGAATGAATTTTTCACCATGATCTTCTATGAAACGGTAAATTATGTGTTTTAATGATTGAATGGCTCTCTCTGCAAATGCAGCTTTTGTTTCACTCGTTGTCGAGTAAACTTCAATGTTTTTTTCCTTGCAAAATTTTTTGAAAATTCCCGATATTCTGTTCTTTTATCAACCCAAAGCTTTTCAGGAGTGTTTTTTCATGGAGTGAAATGTTTTTTTTTTGGAAAGCTTGTAAAGTGTCTTTGGCGTATTTAGTTTTCATTGTTTGAACTTTGACAAATTGCGAAAAAACATCAACAGCAACCAATAAATATTTGACTCCATTGTTTTGAATCGCTAGTTTGTCCACAAATGCCAAGTCAATACACCAAATATCATTGATATATTTTGAAAACGCTTGAAACCTTCGAAAACGTCTGATTGGTGGATCAAATTTTGTATATGATGTCTTGGTTTGTAAAAATTGTTCTACCGAACACTTATGATACACAAACTGATGTTTGTCGTCGATATTTTACTACGTCACTTTTTGAAGAT